GATTAGAAATATCAAGAGATGACTTACAGAAACTCTGACTGCTCTCTTCTATACCGACATTCTCTATTTATACAAATTAACATCATGTCAAAGTATAGTGGAATAACTTCTCCTTCTCTTCCACTCAAAACGAGTCAAGTGGGAGTCGTACCACCACCACTACCTATACAATTATATAAGTCGACTTGCGATCCTGAAGTTCATTCATTCACTCTGCAACTGTGAGAAAACATCAAGATGAATACTCAAAAAATAGTTGCTGCATTAAACAGAATATCTGCTATTGATGCAAATAATTGGATATACGTACAAATATATAAATAATTTTTTTAACCATTTTCACATTCATCAAAGTAATACATATACATACACAATACATTAATATCACATTACAGTTTTATTTATGAATACCTACAAGAATATCAATATTGGATTTTCCGGAATTGAATAGAATTTCAATTATTGACCTCGGCAGACAATAAATTGATTAGTTGATCCAGTGGACTCTCCTGAGTTTGTGATTCTTGAATAATATTAGTTATCCACCGAATATTATCATTCGGATCGTTTTGATAAAATTCAATATCATTATGACCCCAAGGAAGAGTGTGGGTAGTATTCGGAATGATAAATCGTTTATCGTCGTGATATGATAATGCAACTTTATTCTTCAATTCAGTATACATATCATGCAACACGCTTCTAAATGAATTCATCTTTCTGAATATCATACCACCATGTTCCACAATTTTTTGGTAATCTTCACATGTCAATTCATTCTTTATAACCGATCGTTTCACCCCTTCAGCTTTCATGAATTCACCATCAAAAGATTTCACATAATACGCTTTTGCACCTGTACCATAAAAGTTCATGATTGGATCTTTCGGAAATTCGTCTTTGAAGTTACCCAAGATTGAACTTTTTACTGGAATATTGAATTGGTTGACTATACTGTAATTGGATGTATCGAACCTACTTATGTTATTTTCCATGAATTCATAAAAATTTTCTGTATTTACTTTCAAAATGAGTGAGTCGGTATCTGTGTACAGTAAAGAGACATTTTCAGTGTTGTTTGATGCATCCACAGAAGTCGTACATGACTGTTTTTGATAATTCTAATATAGAAAATCCCAAATATAATGGTATCAAAATGGACTTTCACTTTACCCAACTGAATGGCAACGAAATTTTCTGGCACCAATATTTTTCTTTATATTTTCCCAATGTGTAACGAGTCTAACATCAATTCTGTTATCTACATTCTCCATTGTCTTTCCATATACCACATTATTCATTAGTTTAGTTTAGTCTTTAACAGATTTGTTGTTAGACCTATTACGCATTTCAGTACTAAGGTCTATATAGGGCTTCATCCAACGTGATTGTTTGAATTTCAATACTCTATGTGTATTCATTACAATCAAACCATTTTTGATGGCTTGCTGTAGATTTCTATAGTGAACAATATATTTTCTTTTATCATTCAAATTTGGAATTAATTTGGGAATTTTCGATTGTGTACGAGGTGGTATTAGTTTTTCAACTAAAAATGTTCATCATGCAACTCTTGTGGATAATGAATGTCCACTTCAAACACATACCCATACGAACTATCAGAACTCACATTCATCACATCAAGGTTAAGAATTTCATTAGGTGTCAACCATGTAAATTCACTTGTTGGTAGAGGTTGTGACATGCTATGACCGTATAGATTCGTTGCATCTAAATATGCAATGAATGTGGAAGGTTCATTGGGATTATGATTTGGTAAAAATTTATTATTTGCTATATGTTTCCTCTCACTACACTGACTAATTCCACCTCGTATACCTTTTTGAAAAAAGTGAATCATATCAATGTCAGTTAGTAATTCCAATTAAATATTCGTATACTTCAACATAGCATCCCAAGATAATCCAAGTGCAGTGTAATAATGTGCTGGATCTAAGTTATAAATCTCTAAACTTGTGGTGCGAAAGTTTTCAAAAATATCACATAATAGCAATACATCCGACTTTAAATACAAATCAGAGTATTCGCCCAAATTCTGACACTCGAATAAATTCTATACATTTCTAGCCCTATCATAATCATTTTCTGATGTATGTTCACAACTCAGTTTGTCATTGAACTGATTTTTTGTTGGAAGTGATGGATAATTCAATTTGTCAATGTCATCAACGAAACTATAATTAAATTGAATTTCTCAATTTGTGGGAAATGTTTATGCATCTCCAAACATTGATCAGAGGTCAAGTTAGCACCCAACTTCTCCAACGAATTAGTCATAAATTTATAACTATCGATAAATCTCATTTTGAGATATTTCTTGTTAACCTTACCATCTTTATCGGTATAGGTGTGTGTAAAGAGATGCTTAGTGAAAGATATATATTTCTCTTTTGTTTGTGGGATGACATCAACTTTCTCTTTATTCCTGTACAATTCTTTTATGAATAAATGGCAATCATACCTACTTAAATTGTGGAAAATAATAGGTACAAAATTAGGGAGTTTAAAATTCAAATTACATTTGGAATGAGCGGCATGTGATCTTTTCTTTCCTGTAACATGACAATGATCTCTAACTTTGACTTCACTATCAATAAATGGTTTATACATATACCACAAGCAGCAAATTGTTCCTCTTCTTCGAGAGTTTGTACATCCATTGGTATAGGGTATCTGACATGATTTTCATATATCTTTTTCAAATAATCTTCAATAATACTCACAAATTTCTGAGGTGCATCTACACCCCTATATGTAACAAATTTTGACAAATCATCATTATATGAAAATTTTATCAGATAAGCAAATGAATATGGAGCATGTTTGAATGTTTTAATCGTGTATGAACTTTCGGGATTTGGCTCATTTACGTGAATCGGTTCAAGTACTGATTCAAAATCAGCATATACAACAAATGTTCACTCCACGACGAGTGGCTGAGTAATGCGTATTCATCGGTGTGCCCTCACCTCTCTCGATGTGGTGAAGGCTGTGACGTAATGCATCGCTCTAGCCTCGCTATCGATGCTGACACGCAGGCGGCCGAGGACTGTCTGCCCTCTACGAGAGCGCAATGACCACTGCCTGTTCGTATCGACATCTGTTATCGCATCCAGTTGGGAGGTGGGCTTGGCGCATGTAGCTGAGAGGTGGGGTTGGATATGACGTCTTGACGAGCCCGATCAAACTGTATTAAAGAAGCGGACGAGTGTTGGTTATGTCAGTTTACATCAAGTGAGTTAGTGAGAACGTATCATATAAAATGTATTCCTGTGACTGTGGTAAATCTTTCACTCGTAGTGATAATCTTCGTCGGCATCAACTCCAGAGTTGCCAAGGAGGGCCTTCAGTGAAACGGATGAGAGTGGGCAATGTGTATATCATCAACATAAAGTCGATGATTTCCGATAATTGAAAATCAAATTCCTTCAGAGTATCAATTCTCGAACTAAGATAAAGCATGGTTGTTTGTTGTATGCGTTTTTTTTCTTGACCGGTCAGAAACCGACTAGCGTACGCTATTACTTTCTCGCCGACTTCGAATTCTTGGCTCAACACGCAACCTAACCCCACTTGCGAAGCGTCGCATTGAATGATAAATTCTTTATCAAAATCTGGGCATGTTAAAATCGGTGCAGAAATCAAACATTCTTTGATATCATTGAAGGCTTGGCTACACCATATAAAACGCGAATTTCTCTGAGTTAAACTGGTGTGGTGATACTCGAGTGGCAAAATCCTTCTGTACCACGACACCATACCAATAAACCTACGCACATCTTTCACGTTTTTCGGAGCCGGATAGTTTAACATCGAGTCTACTTTGGAGGGGTCCGTGCCTAAACCGTCTTTATTTACCAGATATCCTAAATATTTTAATTCGTCCCTAAGGAAACAACATTTTTCGCGATTTATAGTTAGACCCACTTCAAAAAGCTTCTGAAAAACTATCCCAACAGATGACATATGATATGCAAAATCCTTCGATACTACAATTATATCATCTAGATATATAAAAACGGAAAACTCTAAAGCAACACCAATCACATTTTCAACAAATCGCTGCCACGTCGCCGCTGCGTTGTGCAAGCCAAAGGGCATGCGCACAGAACGGTATAAACCTTTTCCCGGAACAGTGAAAGCTCTTTTGTCTTTACTGCTTTCCTCTAATTCAATTTCCCAATATGCCAACTTAATATCGAACAAAAAAAATACTAAATTCGATTGAAATTCTGGGTTTTTTGACGAAAAAACGAGAAAGAAACGACAAAACTCCATTTCTATTGACAAAATTGAAATTTTCGATCGATAACCGAAAAAATACTAAATTCGATTGAAATTCTGGGTTTTTTGACGGAAAAACGAGATAGAAACGACAAAATTCCATTTCTAGTGACAAAATTGATATTTTCGGTAGATAACAAAAAAAATACTAAATTCGATTGAATAGATAACCGAAAAAATACTGAATTCGCATAAAATTCTGGGTTTTTTGACGAAAAAAGGAGATAGAAACGACAAAAATCTATTTCTAGTGACAAAATTGATATTTTCGGTAGATAACAAAAAAAATACTAAATTCGATTGAAATTCTGGGTTTTTTGACGAAAAAACGAGATAGAAACGACAAAACCCTATTTCTATTGACAAAATTGAAATTTTTGATTGATAATCGAAAAAATACTAAATTCGATTGAAATTCTGGGTTTTTTGACGAAAAAACGAGATAGACGATTGAAATTCTGGGTTTTTTGACGAAAAAACGAGATAGAAACGACAAAAATCCATTTCTAGTGACAAAATTGAAATTTTCGATTGATAACCAAAAAATTACTGAATTCGATTGAAATTCTGGGTTTTTTGACGAAAAAACGAGATAGAAACGACAAAAATCCATTTTTAGTGACAAAATTGAAATTTTTGATTGATAACCAAAAAATACTAAATTCGATTAAAATTCTGATTTTCGATTGATAACCAAAAAATACTAAATTCGATTGAAATTCTGGGTTTTTTGGTTTTTTGACCAAAATACGAGTTAGAAACGACAAAATTCCATTTCTAGTGACAAAATTGAAATTTTCGATTGATAACCAAAAAATACTAAATTCGATTGAAATTCTGGGTTTTTTGACGAAAAAACGAGATAGAAACGACAAAAATCCATTTCTAGTGACAAAATTGATATTTCCAGTAGATAACCAAAAAAATACTAAATTCGATTGAAATTCTGGGTTTTTTGACGAAAAAACGAAATAGTGAAATTTTCGATTGATAACCAAAAAAATACTAAATTCGATTGAAATTCTGGGTTTTTTTGACGACAAAACGAGATAATACTAAATTCGATTGAAATTCTGGGTTTTTTGACGAAAAAACGAGAAAGAAACGAAAAAAATCCATTTCTAGTGACAAAATTGAAATTTTCGATTGATAACCAGGAAAATACTGGAATCGATTGAAATTCTGGGTTTTTTGACCAAAAAACGAGATAGAAGACCAAAAAACGAGATAGAAACGACAAAAATCCATTTCTAGTGACAAAATTGATATTTTCGGTAGATAACCAAAAAAATACTAAATTCGATTGTAATTCTGGGTTTTTTGACCAAAAAACGAGATAGTAGATAACAAAAAAAATACTGAATTCGATTGTAATTCTGGGTTTTTTGACCAAAAAACGAGATAGAAACGACAAAGATCGATAAACGGAAAAATACTAAATTCGATTGTAATTCTGGGTTTTTTGACCAAAAAACGAGATAGAAACGACAAAATTCTATTTCTAAAGACAAAATTGAAATTTTTGATCGATAAACGGAAAAATACTAAATTCGATTGAAATTCTGGGTTTTTTGACGAAAAAACGAGAAAGAAACGACAAAACCCTATTTCTATTGACAAAATTGTAATTTTTGATTGATAACCGAAAAAATACTAAATTCGATTGAAATTCTGATTTTTTTGTCCAAAAAACGAGATAGAAACGACAAAAATCCATTTCTAGTGACAAAATTTGAATTTTTGATTGATAGTCGGAAAAATACTAAATTCGATTGAAATTCTGGGTTTTTTGACGAAAAAACGAGGAAGAAACGACAAAACCCTATTTCTATCGACAAAATTGAAATTTTTGATTGATAAACGGAAAAATTCTAAATTCGACTGAAATTCTGGGTTTTTTAACGAAAAAACCAGATAGAAACGACAAAATTGAAATTTTCGATTGATAACCAAAAAAATTCGATTGAAATTCTGGGTTTTTTGACCAAAAAACGAGATAGAAACGACAAAAATCCATTCCTGAAGACTTTCTGACCATCACAACAGGTGAGGACCATGGTGAATTCGACGGTTCGATCACTCCTAGTTCTAACATTTTATCTATTTCGGTGTTATAATAGTACCGTTGGTTTATCGGTTCGCTATCACCAGTATCGATTCGACTTTTAATGCCTTTCGCAAGACCTAAACCTGTACCTATGCTTTCGAAAAACGAGTAAATCATTTCCTGGAACTGTCTTCTGTCGGAGTCGTCAAGCGACTCACCTTCTAACGCATCGACCGCTGTACATGGTTCTTTAAATTCCAAAACAAAATCTCTCAAATCAGTTACTATGTTCATGTCACGCCAAAAATCAACACCTAAAATTATTTCGGTATTAACATCTAAAATCACAAGACAGCTAATACTCTCCATTTTCCTTCTAATACTGTCGGAATAGTTACAATGCCCAGTACATCGCAATTTAATCCGTTTACTACCTCAACTACTTGATTACATTTCTCTAATTTCAACTTATAACTTTGTAATTTACACCAACCAGACCTACCGATAACAGTTTGTGTAGCGCCTGAATCTAAAAGACCTACGAAACTCTTATTGAAAATAGAAACCTCCAGGTAGGGCCTTGGATCATTATCCACTGAATTGAAAAGACTATCGATTCGACTCTTTTTATATTGAATCTTCACAAAATCTACCCAAGGTAGCATGTGTGCAATGGGACCTTGCACACATGCTTACCGGTGATCGACGCCGATTACCGGTAGGCATGTGTGCAAGGTCCTGTTCCCTCATGTGGTGCACTATTGGAATTTGGACGACCGGTACAAAGTCGGCCGTCCAAAATCGGTGTGTGTGCAACTAGCGTAACATTGCCGGATATGTTTTTAAACGGTCCGGAAGAAATAATTCATTCCATAAAATTCATCCCAATAGATAATAAGGATATTGCAAGATCGCTCCACAGCAGAATTACCCAATCACAATATCACAACAAGGCACGGCAGGTCTATATCCGTCAAAAGACGTAATTTTATATACGAAAACCATAATTTGCCTGAAATCAAGTCTTCCGAACGTTATCATTCAGTTTCACTTACGAATGCCCCAGAGCGGACGGACAAAAAAAAAGTAACCTTAAAAAAAAAACTTACCGAGTCGGCTGTGTTTCACAAAAGGAGTTGTCCTAATTTAATAATTAGCGTTCAACTATTCACAACTAATCGTAACAAAGGACACATTGTAAAATTAATTCAAGACTAGTAGATAAGGCAATATTGTGAAATTAATTTAAGATACTTAAGACACAGGTACCTAGATCTATGGTATAAATAAGGATAGCTTTGTAAGTAGGATTAGTTTGATCTTCCTCATGAAGATGATCACTTGGTGATGGAAACACGTGTCGAGGTGGTGAAATAACGGTTTGGTGTTGAGAAAATTTCCAGTAATACTCATTACTACACCAAAGGTTCCAAACAGTGCATCAGAAGTGAATATTTTTGCTAGTTTTTATTCTTCTTTCATCCTCCACTCACCACCATGACGTCATTACTAACATTAACCTTGATTGATGCCACACAACCTCAATCTATGTGCAGTGTCATATGACCTTGTACAGCTGCCCTTGCAATTAGAGTCTATCCCAGATACGTGACCTAATTTTTGACCTTGAAATACGTCTGAGGTTTGACCTTCAAAGGCGTCTGAGGTTTGCTAATGAATGACGTTCTTCAGCTATGTATATGAAACATGACTTTGAACGTGAACTTGACCTTGAGATTAGGGGACCAGATTGCATATTTCAACAAGATTTTCACGTGCGTCATCTACAACTGATCCCATTTCTACATAAGGACTATGAAAATCATACATGTTCAAGAGGTATCAAATGACCTACTAAAATTTCAGCACGGCCTTACGTTCTATTTTGTTTGTTGTTCTACTTCATTTTAGTGGATGTACAGATATCTGTAGGATTTAGAGTGTATCAATAAGTGATACAATTTGCTTTACGATTTTCACTTCAAGGATTTTACAAAAACCATCACACGTGTTTTGATATATAACGAACGGAGAAAAAGTCGAAAAAAAAGTTTGTTAAAAAGGAACCGCTTCATTCCTTTTTGATAAAAAAAAGCCAATAGTGTGACATCACTGGGGGGGCGTATTTATTTGTCGAATGGAAAGGGTGGTCTTGTGATATTTCTTATGGAAGGTATATCAGTTTTCTATACAAGTATAAATACCTTTACTTTTATGAATCTCGATAACCGATTCCGAAATTAAAGACGTTTGAATTTCATTTTAAGTTGGTTATTATTCATCTTATACATAAAAAATCATTCGAGCAAATAATCAAAATGTTTTTCTTGAACCTCCTAATAATAAAACAACATTTTCGAACTCATTTCTAAAAAATGTGATCTAAAAACACTTTATTGTAGGATTTTCAGTTAACAATTTTACGAAACAAATACTTTTAATGCTGTTTTGATTTGCAATCAAACGTTCTGACATTAACTCACAAAATTGCATTCTTCTGTCAGGGTTAACTTCATTTAATTCATGTTATATATTCAGTTATGTCTTCTAAGGTATTTCTTGACGGTAGTTGTTGAGACATCATTCTCACGAGCAACTATTGTCGTGGACTGCAAAGGGTTTATCACTACTGACGCAACGATTTCTATCTGTTTCTTGTCCGAGATAGATTTTCTTCCAGCTTGTCTAGCTCCAGCCACACTTCCAGTGTTTGAAGAATTTCAACCAATTCCCTGAGATACTTTCAGCAGTTTGGATTATCAGAAAGTCTTGTCGAACACCCTCTCTGCCTCTTAAAAATAACGGCCTGTTTCGTATTGCTTCTGTTTTTCCTTTGAATATCTGGCGCGAACTATTTTTGAAAACTTAAATGAAATGGAAGGAAACGAATACTCATTGTTACTAGGATAACACGGTGTAGATTCTTATGTACATAGTCGATCACAGAAACACATCCTAAATTGAATTAAAAACAGAAATGAGTTTTTTGTTAATACTTTTGTTCGATTTTATTTTAATACGATTCATTTTTGTGAATAATTTCATTTCCTTATACTTACATTACAAACATTGTGTGTAACCTGTGATAACTAACTTTGAAGCTGTTTTAATCCTCTTTTGGTAGGTAGCAAAGTTACGAATTATAATTTTTTCAAGTGTCCAATATGTACACCAGCAACCGGTTATCGAAATTCAACACAGTAAAGGTCGTTGACCTCTACTGACTTTTGGATCATTGACTTTTTTTATCACAAAGTACTGAAAATGTTTCTGTTCCTGATTGAAAAAATTCAATGGTGATTTGCAGTTATTGTTGGCTGTCTTCCTTATTGGAAAATTTTTTGTAACTTGATATTGTAAGGAACTATTTAAATATTGCGATAAGATGTCGACGTCAGTACAATTATGAAATATATTCATATCCAAGTTTTCGATTGATTCTTTGAATTTGGATAAGTTACGAGTTGTAACTTGATGAAATAAATTTTTTTCAGGACTAACATTGGAAGGTGCAATAATTTTAATATATTGACCTCGGTGATCAGATAAACATGTCTCTAATATCCCAACATCGTACAATGAAGAGTCGAGATTTGTAAGAATGTTGTCAATGCAAGAAGTGGTATCGGTTCTCGGATTAATTCTGGTGTACTCTTTTATAGTTATTTCCAGCTCAAAAGAAGTTGCAAGGTTTCTAATTTCTCTCGAAATACTGTTATCGATTTCAAAGTGTATATTGAAATCGCCCGAAACGATTACTTGATTATATATGTCTGATAGATCCGATAATAACTCTTCAAGTTTACTCATGAACAAATGAACATCTCCACGGGCACAAGATCTGTGTAGAGTTATTAAAACGATGTTAAGTTCAGTTAATAGATTGCTAGATTAAATTGGTCAAATCTTATAGTGGAAAGGGTATTTTCCTGGAGCCAGTGTTCACTCAAGCAGACAATATAAAACTCATTTTCGCTCAAAAAATGTGAAACCGCATCCATCTTATTAGACAAACATTGAATATTCAGATGTAGTATACACATTTCGGTGTTAATGCAATTTTCACGTGACAGAGGAGACATCACTACTTTACTGCCTGCATCCCGTGCTTTGGGTAAAAAAACTTGCTGATGCATGCTCCTGCTGGCCATATATTAGGATTCATTGCAAGTTCATAGTTGGTATGATGAATATTCACCTTGAAGGAAGAGTAGTGACCTGGAAACTTCGGTACAATTGACTCGCATTCTACCTCTGGAAAGTGATTTTTCAACAGAGTAGTCAGTTCGACCAATGTGGTCTCCTTATCCACTCTACTGACGTGCAGTGCTGTAAACTTTGGAGCACTTTTTACCGTGAGCTCCGTGTTTTTCCCGTATATAATTTGTTTTTTTCTGCGTTTGTTTCTATTCTCCACCATTTTCCATCCTCGTTCATCACTCACATTTTTCGTATCAGTGTCTTTGGATAAATTCACGATTTCATTAATTTTCCGCTCACTTTCAATCCTCAGTAACTCGGCTGATAATTGCGGCTTTGTTATTAATTGTTTTTCCTTTGAGGATTCACCTCGGGAATTCTCAGTTTTTGTTGGAATTTCTTTACTAGACTCTGGCTGTGGCCCACCAGACAACTCATTTATATTATGATATCGACATACACATCGACATATTCAGTTTCTAAATCTTTCAGGAATTCTCCGAATTCACGGTGATTTAACGCGCATGACTTTATAAGATCGATTAGCTTACCTAATTATTGGTACTGTGTCATTTGGCAAACTCAATCTTTTTGTACACAAATTTTCCTGATGAATTATGCAGTGGTTAACGAATGTTTCCCTTCTAGGGACCTTCCTTGAAATAGCCTTTCCGATACTCCTACCCCCATTGTCGGGCTACATCTGTCGATACACCAATAATATTTTCTAATAAAATTGAAAAATTGTACAACACAAACTTTAGTTCATCGGACAGGTCTTTGCCGATTGTAGTCCCTTGCATTGGAATCAGTGAACACAATTCTTTGGTAATAGTAAATTTGGTGTCAATACCACGTGAAAATATAACCAGTTGTGTGAGTAAAAAACTCAAATATTGCCTTTTTGAGAATAATATTACAGACACACCTTTCACGAAACACAAGAATTGTTAAATTGCTAACAAATTGTTAACAGTTCACAAGTCTGACTGACTGTGTGACAAAAGCAAACACAAACACGCACAAGTGTGTATCCTCTCACAAATAATCGTGCAGACGCGACGCGTTCGTATTGCATGTTTAATTGAACAAGTGGCCGACAAGTGAGTAACCCGTTACAAAAAATTATGTCGGTTTAGTATTTACTACCATTTTATTATAATTAATTTTTTAGCAATATATTAATGGGAGAAAGTCGATAAAATAAATTCAATTTTAGAATTGCTTGGCGGGCCGCATAAACATGTTCAGGAATGTTGTACCAATTTTATTGTAGAAATGATATAAGATTGAATAAAAGTTAGTGATTAATTATTATAATAATTTTCAGTATTGGATGTTCAAATTCGAATCATCTGGACCCAGACATAGATCATTTCCCTTAAGGCCAACAGATTTCCCTCACGGATCTTCACATCAAATATCCGTGACAAACAAATATGTACGTGAACAACTTTGGGCCACTTCTGAAAACTATTTATTGACACTTAATGAAACAACACCACTTCAAACCAATTTCGCTTCAAGTTTCAGTATAGTTGCTAGAGGTTCGATGCTTGTGTCCATCCTGGTAGTCACTTATTTTTCAAATCGGTTTCCACCCGCTGAGAAAAGGATCATATTTGCTCTCAGTGTTATCTTCATTCTGTTTGGCATTAGCACAGTTTTAACTCGAGTGGACACATCTGGAAGTGAGTACTTGAAATAGAGTTTATTTAAATTTACATTATTGAGTTACTGGATTCCAAAATAAGGGTTATATTTCATGATTCCTCCTTTTATTATTATTTCAGATTTGATTTGACTTTGACTCGTAAACTTTGTTCAACTGAAAATTATAATGGCTAGTTCATAGTCCAAACTTTCACTTTATCTTTTACTTTTTCTCCAAGAAAGTTAGCGCAACGAATATCACTTAATTTTATTTTTCAGGTGTAGACGTGATAGTTTTGTCCTTCTATAGCTTTGGATATTTCTCTTTGACCTTATATTTTCACCTTCTTGAAAAAAAATCATTTATTTATTTTATGTACGTCATTTCGATGAAACGCGCTTAGAGAGACTGTGTTTTTGTTCTAAGGTGGAAAAAGCGGTTTCTTTAGATTGAATGAATAGGAAGGTGGTAGCAACAAGTGAAACGTACTAGAACTTAAACTTACAACCGATGTAAAGATAATGAATCTAAATTCGATTAAACGTTTTTGCCAGACTGTCGAGGTTGGAATCGGAAAATCTTCATTCGAATTTAGTTTTTAGAATTCCTCATTACTAAAGTTAGACACGTACTAGGGCGTAGGCACTTAGGATATTAACATATTATCTTAGAAAAAACGGGAAAAGAAAACGACGAAAACTAAAATTATCTGTACTGTCATACCAAGGATTTTATTTTGTCAAACCATGTGCTCACTTTCCGATTGACTGATACTTTCCAATTTCGAATTTTACAATATTAATCCACATCTATCTCACCACATGTCAGTTAAGGCTAACATCAGCCCCTGCAAACGACGACTCTCTTTTTGTTCTCCACTAGCTCTTTCTCTTACTTTCTCTTACTAACTGCCCAGACTGGTTTGCATTACTTTGTCAGATCGTTTAGTCACTTATGATTCTCAGAGAGAATGCTTGTTTCAAGACCGAAGGCCGAAGTTTCAATATAACAAGTGAACTACTATAGAAATGACGAACGAAGTAATGTACTCAAAAACTAATCATATGGATAATATAAACTGTACATTAAAAAAAGGCCTGTTCAGTTCCTGTTGACCACACTATCTAACCTAATTTATTATATAAAAAACTCAATAACTACTAAATTGGACAAAAGAACTTTGAAAGAATTTGTTGCTCTGCCGTGAAACTGGGAATCGTACTTTCAATTAGGGACTTTAAAAAGATAGTTGAACATTTATAATTCAATCATCTAGTGTTTTCAGGTACGGCGGAATAGTTGAATGATTTTACGACATATAATTCAAATATAGTTAGGTTAGGTTTATTCGTTAACCACCTGTCGTATTTAGAGAGACAGATGATGTTTCTAAGCTTTTTTATTTCTCCACAGAAACTGAGCTATTTTTTGCTGTGTCAATCATCATAACTACTTTAATGAACTGTAAGTATTATCCCTAATGTTAACAAAAACAAGTTGTCACAGAGTGACTCAAAGTTCTGAATTTCGTCATTTGGTCGTTTCCTCACAAGAATAATGGCTTCACCTACTTGAAAAATTTTGAAATAATACAGGATGTTTTGCAAAGTCGTGGAACACCAAACTATTTTTTTAATTGAAGTTCTATTATTTCATATCATATTTGGAATAAGTGATTTCCTTTCAAGAAATACAGACATTTTTCTATTGAAAAATGGTTAATGAAATGAGGCTACTTTTATGTATGTAAATTACGTACGTTTATATGTGAATGATTCTCCTCCAGTTATATTGATATCTGTCAATAATTGAATGGAACTGACCAATATTTGATTGTCCATATATTTTTATTAATACTCTGCCTTCAATTTGTTTACTGAGTATAGTTTTGCTCCAGTGATCCGATCGTACGTGATCCACTTCCAAAGGTTATCATTGGCATTATTAGCAACTCGTGAGTGTGTTATCTGGCTATTCTTGAAATAATACCTGGTTCCTTTTCATCGCCTCACTTTGTATTTCGTTCATTATCTCCGGTTTCTTGAATATATTAATTTTTTATATTTCAAAATAATGACTTCTTCGAAATCATATATTTCTATTTTCTAATTGCTTTTTAATATACTTTTCATTCATCTCCAGCCCTTCTTGCTGAGCAGCTAACTCCAATTCGCCTTTATCACATTGGCGTGAAGTTATCCACAGATTTCTAGCCACACATGCCGACGTAGAGGAAAATAAAAATCTGTGGTTGGGATACAAAATTAATAGCACCCGTACTAATATGTGTGGCTGGAAATACCTATTCACTATAGGTTGAACGTGAAATTATTAAGACTATTTGGTGTTCAACATTTTTCGAAATCTGTTTAGATGACAAGAAAACTGTTGTCACCAAGTTGATCTTCTCAAGAAACTATGGAAGTTGTGTGATTTTGATTGACGCACATCATCGGATATCATTTCTATATAGGATATTGGAAAGTAAGTCTAATATTTTCAATTTTATTTTTCACTGAATTTGTATTGTTGATGAGAAAAGGATTATCAACGCCTCAATCTACTCAAGACTATAAAAATGTTGAACACCAAATAGTCTTAATAATTTCACGTTCAACCTATAGTGAATAGGTATTTCCAGCCACAGATATTAGTACGGGTGCTAATAATTTTGTATCCCAACCACAGATTTTTATTTTCCTCTACGTCGGCATGTGTGGCCAGAAATCTGTGGATAACTTCACGCCAATCTTTATCACTACCCTCTCCAATGCTATATTGAACACCAGTTCTGAGAAATCGCCTGTTAACTCATCCTACCAATTGATCCTCATAAGTTCATTTTTATTATGAACTGGATCTCAGTTCTATTATTCCACTATAAAGCTATTGCTTTTAATTCTGTTTTGAAGTTGTTGAATGTTCAACTAACTTGTATTTTTAGTAAATCAATCTAGCCTGCATAATTTAAACTTGAAAAAAAGAAGGTGAGCATTAAATTGTCTCAAAATTATGCTCCCGACTTTATACTCGAAATTGCCTCACAGAAATCAGAATAAGCCTGACGTTGCTCTTCCTATTTTTGAGTATTTACCCTTACACAATTTTGAAAATGAATAAAGATGACTCAATAGAGAACCTGCTGACATGTAATAAAAGTTACTGTGTAATACTAACCACGGAGTGCAGTTAGTAAGTAACTTGACCTATTCATGCATTTCACGTACAAATCGAATAATCAAGGGAAAATATAAAATTGCTATACTCAACTTCTTTCAAATACTCTTACAGATAAAAATAATTCTGAAGACTATATCGAGGAGAGATACACACATTCAAGAAAATAAATATTTCCAAATAAATCTCGAAACATTAATCTCTCCCAAGGTACCTACACAGAAGGTTCTGAAAAATGCCCCCGGAAAAACAACGATTTCCCGGACTGATAGCATGTTGGACATTGAATTATAGTTGACAGATATTTATGGAAGTTACTTCACAGGGGTTAGTTTAACTGCTGCTGACCAGGGCTGTTTTTCAACTCAAAGTTATTAAAAAAATGAGAAGAATATGTCTGTGTTGCAGAAATGTATGATTAAACAAACAAACAAACTAACGTAAATAACATAATCAAATCTTTACCCCCAAAATTATCAATTAGCAGTTGGCAATTTTTTAATAATATAAGTGATTGCGTATTTGTCGGAAAAAACTCTTCAATCCTTTTTTGTGATTCACGGTCCGAATTTACCAAAATTAATCACCTTAATCACCAGAAACGTACAGAACGTTTTCTTCATCTCCTGAAGACGGCAACTTGGTTAGTGAAACGCGCATTTCTGGTAATTGAGAAAAGTATTTTTTTGCATTAATTCTACGCCAGGGGTTCCACTTTTACCTTTTATCATGTCTGAAATCACGCCAATTTGAAGACAAAAGTAATCATTACTTTTCAGTCACCCCATATACAGTAGGTATTGAACAAAAGATAATATCAAAATAAATATACTATTTGTTCTGTTAATAAATCTAAGTTTAGTGTTCTATGATTTTGAATACTTTCTACATGCCTTCTATGCCACAACTACACCAAAGACCAAATTCAGAACTTTGAATCAATCTGTTATACAGTGTGACCCATTTTTAATGGAAACAGCCCCCTAAAATTTGAAGTTGTAAACCGATTTCAATAATTTTTTTTTGAAATGTCAAGTACTAAAAGGTCTACCTTGGGACAAAATTTGAAATGTTTATTAAAGTTTCAGGGCATACTACGATATTTTTTCTTAGTCGAAAATCGGGATTTTTTATTAGCGATTTTTTTATTGAAAAAAATCACTACGCCACTGGATTCACAGTGCCTCTTAACAGGTGTGACCAAAATTTGATGGAAAAATATTCATTATTAACAAAGTTATAACAACTCAAAAATTAGAAAACTCGCACAGCTAACAGTCACAAAAAACACCCTATATCAACAGATATAGCCATGAAATTTTTTTTATTTCAACAATAAAGTGCCGCCAGATGAAAAAAAAACAAATAGCGTAAATATGTTTAATGAAAATAAAGGAATTACATTCAAGTTTTCACGCAAATTAACTAAAACTAAGACCTAATATTTCAATTTAAATCTTAGTTGCCATGGAAATGATATTACAGTTTGACACCTGTGAAAGATTTAAGTGTACTATTGTCAACAATATTCACCTTACAGTTCTTCGAATTATTTTGTGTCAAGGCTGCAAGATTGAGCGTAAGAGAGAAAATTGAAATTGTACGCCTTTCGGGAGATGACGTTAGAAGTGCTAGAGAGGTTTGTAGAGTATTTAATGAGAGACATCCAGATCGTCCTCGTATTAGCTGCGGTACGGTAAATAAAATGAATAAAATATTCAATAAAACTGGTGCAGTATCAAAAATGATGTTAAAAAGTAATCCTGTACAAAGACGAAACAGGAATGACAGGAATGATCAAATCATTTTAGATTATTTTGGAAATAATCCTAATGCCAGTATAAGGAATGCCACTTTAGATTTAAATATTCCACGAGAAACTATTCGGAGATGTCTCAAGGCGAAGAATATTAAACCTTTCAAGCCAAAGTTTTTACACACACTTCAAGAAGGCGACGAAACAAGACTCCTAGAATATTGTTTATGGGCCCAAGGGGAATATTTGAACAATAGAAATTTCCTAAAAAATATTTTATATACCGACGAAGTCACTTTCACTACAAATGGAGTAGTGTCATCACAGAATTGTCGCTATTGGGCAGCGGATATTCCTAACTGGGTAATAAACTGTAAAAGCCAGTATTCCCAGAAAATCAACGTCTGGTGTGGGATATTGAACGAACGAATTATTGGTCCTTCCTTTTTTGAGGAAAACATTAATGCTCAGAGGTTTCTAGAATTTTTAAACACAGAGTTTTGGGATGCTATTCACGAGCTGCCAATCAATGAACGATCAAATTTAATCGTCCAGTTAGATGGGTGTTTGGTTCATTATGCCAGAGCTGTGAGGCAATGGCTTAACGAACATTTTCCAAACCGATGGATAAGCCGTGGTAGTCCGTTTATAGAGTGGCCATCCAGATCTCCAGACCTCACAGTTTTGGACATTTTTCTCTGGGGACTTCTCACACAAAAGGTTCACAAAAACCGCTCAAGAGATAGAAATGAACTTTGTGCAAGAATTCGACAGGTATGTGCAGATATTAGCCCTCAAGAACTAAGGAACGTAATCAGAAACATTCGTAAGCGCTACGACACATGTATCAAAATACGTGGTGGATTAGTAGAGGCTACTAGAATATGAGTTAGAATTAATTGTTGCACTGAATCGAAACATTTCAATAATTAGTTATTAGTTACGTTTATTAAAATTTTTTGCTTCATTGTTGGTTGAATTTTGTGAATGTAATTCTGTTATTTTCATAAAAAATATTTACACTATTTGTTTTTTTTTTCATCTGGCGGCACTTTATTGTTGAAATCATAAAAAAAAGATATATTGTGACTGTTAGCTGTATGAGTTTTCGAATTTTTGAGTTGTCATAACTTTGTTAATAATGAATATTTCTTCATGAAATTTCGGTCACACCTATTTAGAGGCACTCTGAATCCAGTGGCGTAGTGATTTTTTTCAATAAAAAAATCGCTAATAAAAAAACCCGATTTTCGACTAAGAAAAAATATCGTAGTATGCCCTGAAACTTCAATAAACATTTCAAATTTTGTCCCAAGATAGACCTATTAGTACTTGACATTTAAAAAAAAAATATTAAAATCGATTTACAACTTCAAATTTTAGGGGGGTGTTCCCATTAAAAATGGGTCAAACTGTAAATGAAAATTCATTGTGAATTTGATTATACAATATTTTCAATAATTATCTAACATGCGTTTTTTGTGTATATTTAAGCCCGTCCCAATAACTTTTTTATTTCAAATAACATTTCATTTTGAGATTTTCATCGGACAGTTTACAAAACCTTAGCACGTGTTTCGGGGTATTCATATACGCGAAATACGTGTTGCGGTTTTGTAAACAGCCCAATGGAAATATTACAATAAAGGGTTACTTGAATACGTTACGCATTTTCGTCAAATATATCGACTGATTCCATCATAAGACATTTATTCGTAACATTTAGTTTCTGTTTCCTTAACATTCTGCTTGTTACCACTACATGTTGCTCAATTTTACTTGAGAGATAGTGAAAAATTCAACATAATCATTAGGAAATACTAACTGACGTGAACCAAACAAATTTTCATTTCAACTCAACCATAGTTGAGAGTACTAGTATTTTTCGATCTGAAGTTGCTGCGGAATAGACAAGAAACGAGATAACTGATAAATAATAGTGAGTAGTAACTCAGCACTCCTGAATATTCGCGACTATCTCAGAGAAGAGATAATAAAAATTCAATATACGAGTATATCACATGAAAAAAAATCTACAGTTGAGTAGATGAAATAATACACATGAAATAATACACAATTTGAGCATCCGATATAAGTTACAATCTAATGAAATCGAAACGATATGGCAACTGATTCAAACAACCTTGTCTTTTATAGAACAATTGCTTTTATTTTCGAAATTCACTAATAGTGAAAACCCCATTATTCGATTTTGGCTCAATTTCATGAAATTAATTGGCTCTTGATTAATTGAACTATAAAATATATCTCATGTTCCATTTTTCAACTCTGATATCTGGCAATTCAAATATCCCGATATGTAGACCATTAAACATTAGTGTCATTCCTGATTTATCAACGATATAAAATTTACTAACTGGGAAATATGAAATGTACACATTTGACACAATTTATTAGTTGCGAAACAACTATTTGTGTGGTGGAAAAGAATTGAAACCGTAAAAACTTCCCAAGAAACAACATGTGAACTCTCTTATGATAGTAACAAGCCATTAATTGGTCTCAGAATCAGAGAAATTGCAGACAACTCCGTTTGTTTGATTTACTGAGTGCAAGCTATCATCCAAACAAGAGCTCTCTATCTCTCTCTTCCTCTCTCTCTATCTCTAATCTTATTCACTTGTAAAAGTTTGTGTTTTATCGCGTTTTTTATTGATGACCCAACTGTAACGGAAACGCATTCCAGTCAAACAAAAAATGCATGTGAACATTTGTAACAACGATAAAAAGCTTATTTTCCAACTCTGATGCGGTATATAAAGAATATTTGAAAAACTGTTTCAGAAAAATTTTTAAATGAAAGAATAATACTTTATTTAATAAAAATTGAGAGGTGACCGCCCACATTCTCTTTCATAATCACATGTTTTTTACTCTATACTCCCTCTTAGGAAACATTAAAATGTGGTATGTTTTAGATTATTTTGGTTACTCAGTTTTTTATTACTATGTTATTCATGTTTTTCCAAGTTTTCAGCGCAACAGCAATTATATCTGCATTTCAACTACTGAAGAATTTTCCTACTTCCTACTATCCTGCACTTCACTCAGGACACTCCATATGTGGCGTAATCGCTTCTCTTTTTCAAGTGATACTCATCAGCACCAGAATGTCTTCTCAAAGTAATGGGACATACTACTTTGGATTCGGAACGCTCATTATATTTATCTCTACGCTGTTCATGACAATGGTCAATAAAAAATCAAGATACTTTATATATCGAGTAAATACGACAAGAATGATTATGGATGAAAACTGGACTGCAAATAATGTATCTAACAGAACCAGAGAAAAACTTGTATCAGGGCTCTTGAGAACGAAATGGTACTATGCATCCTTTCTTTTCGTACAGGGATCAACTGCCATGATTTTTCCAGGATTTACTGCTCTGGTCGTCTCTGAAAACATGCACGGAACTACTTGGGAAAGTATGTAATGATATTATTGGCAAATATATTCTTACAATATTGTTTTGCAATCAAAGTCAATTTTGCCCATTTTCAATAAACTGAATTTAGTTAGTATGGAATACTCCTGTGAAGGAGCTGTTCAATGAAAATATCACAACGTATCGTTACTTATATACTCTATATTGGATTGTCATCAAATATCAGTCAGTTCCATCACACAACTCCTTCAATTGTATATTTCCCTTTGCCTTTTCCCCTTGGTTGATGAAACGCGCGTCGAGGAGAGTACCTATTGAATTGCTGGTGTTTGGGAGCAGTACATGTTTCGAAGGCTTCTACAGTTATACACATTTCATGAGTAAAGCCTTCAAATTTCAATCGAGATCACGAAATCAATTTGAGAGAGTTACCACTAAATGTTAAAATATCATCTGAATAAACAGAGTTTGATAATGATGTTTGATAATACCGATTATTTAAATGGAAGGACCTATCAGACATGAAAGTCATGTTTATGTAAAGGTAAATTCTGGCTTAACGCAGATGTCAGGTCATAGAAAAAGAAGTGAATACTAACAAGGACAGGAAGGTTCTTTTAGATGCTTTTTTGATAATGCTCGCCTAATCATCCAGATGTCGAGGTGAAAGAGGATAGACAACACAAGATGCAGACGAATAGACTGCATGTACAGGAGCAGATTGATATAGGCAATTATTATGGGGGTAACAGTAGTGGGTTGGGGGGTTGAATGCAGCAGACCTTGAAAATGATAACACAGATCGAGGGGGAGTTTGTTTCCTCTCCTGATGCAAATTCTGTTTGCAAGACAGATTCATAAAACATTTCGCTCGTGGGGGGTACATAATTTACTTCTTGACTGCACCATGTAGGCTCCTAGGATTCTTAACAGGACTAAGAGTTCCAATCACAGAACTCCTGCATTACCGTGTCAAGGCTTTCTACGAAAAGAGGAATCCGGGTATTTTGAAGGTCTCGTTAGTGTTACTGTGTGAACACGAGTCGTACAACATATCAGTATGTATACACACACCTTAGGATCAGCCTTCATTTCGGAGGACTCTACGGATAACACCTCACCCGGCTAGGGTATTCCAAAGCCCCCACCGCAGGGCAGGTCGTGAAGAGAATGTCTCGCCTCTTTATTCATGCGTGCCCTTTACTTCCCTGAAACCATCTATACACTTGTAGCACTTAACCAGGTTCACAACATATTTACCATACACCGCAGTTGATAATTATTACAAGTATTCTTAGTGAGTTTTACTGATAATTTCACCTTACAACGTTTTCTTCACCTTCTGAAAACGCCAACTAGGTTGGTGAAACGCGCGTCGAGAAAAGTTACTTCAATTTGTTACCCATGATGGACATGGTAGTCGAATATATGACACGTGCTACACAAACCGTCACATATATTTTCATGCACTACACCGATCGATTTGAAACTGATCAAATTATGACCGACCGATTCTTTACACATCAATTTTTTAAATAGTTTTAGTACTCATACCTTTACTCATAATTTATGAAACATTCTATTATCTTCCATAAAAAATAATCTACAAATGTATTCATTACAGAATTATATTTTCGGCCAGTAGTATCTTTTCTGACATTCAATGCTTTCAATTTAATTGGCAGAGAGGCTGCGAAAATAGTGAAAACTGTAAGTACTAAGTGTTCTTCACATATAGATGAAACAATATTCGATAAGCAGATGAACTATTCTTACTATTTTTACTAGTACTCACACCTTAAGTTAAGGCTAGCTTTGTATAACGAGCTTTCGTTTTTTTTTCAATATATACATTTGCATTTTTGACTGTATCTTTACTGTAAAGGTACTCTGAAATAAAGAATAATTAGGAGGATGATTTGGATACAGATATTAAAAACGTCTTATATTTGAGCTTATATTATTCTTACCGTGTTATTTATTGTCAACAATATTTTTCGTATTTATCATTAATATTACATTATGCAGCTGCAGTTAAGTTTGTTTTCCACCATACTAGTAAATCATTAGCAGTTAGTGACTTTTTTCGTATTAATGTTTTACATAGTCATCAATTCTGTTAACCATTGCACTGAATCTCTTGGTAACTGATTTTAATTGAGTTAAGAGTACAAAATGTGAAATCTAAGCAATATCTAATGGAAAAATTTCACATTAACTTTTTTCACGAAGTAATTATTCATACACATTCATACAAGTTTTTCAAATATGGTTTTTTTTCAGCCAAAACATGGAATTCACGTGATGATACCAGCGTTACTGCGAGTCGCACTAGTGCCTTTGATTATATTTTGTAATGCCCATCCAAGGAGACATTTGCCAGTATTTTTTGGAGATGAGTGGTATATCACGTTTCTTGCTATCTTCGCATTCACTGAAGGAATCATTGTAAACATTAGTTTCCTGGTTATATCTTCGTAAGTACAGAACATAACTAACAATTTTCGTTTATTTATACCAAGGGCAGACGGATTTATGGGGGGTGTAATGAGAATTATCCCCATTACACAACAACATCCAAAACTGAAATGAAAGGTAGAACTGCAAACTCTGGCGTAAAAAATAAAAGCACTGTACCCAAACATCTCAACACCAAACACTCTTCCAGGCGCACGTTTCACTAACCAATTTGGCATCTTGAGGAGATGAATTGCACTAATTGTTAGTTCTAAAACTGGTCTCTATTTTTATCTAAGAGAAGACACTTTCACCTTTATACACACATCATCGAGGCAGAAATTATCAGAAATTTTCACGTGAAAGATTCTGCTAATTTCATCAAAGCGATTCATATAAGTATAAACAATGAACTGTTCGAAATGGGACCTTTTCAGACAAGTCTCATTTATTTTATGGCCCATCTTCAAAGCGTTTTGAGCGATATTTTTCTGGTTTCCGAAATTGAATATGTGCTACGTATTCTTCGAAACGAGTTTCAATAGCTCGCTCAATCTGGCCGACGTATTTTTTGTTATAGTCGTCACTGATAATTTTATATATCCCCTTTTTTCATTTCCCAACATCTTGTCTTTAGAGTTACATAACATTTGTTATAGTGAGCAAGAAGCTTTGAAAGCGATTTTCATGTTGAACTTTTCAAAATTTCGACCTAACAGAATAGCTATAAAAGAAGAAAGTGGGTTTTCTTTGCCGTGCCTCGGTGTGTCTGTAGAAATAGTTACTGAACTGGAAGCAATTCTGTTCCTCGCAGATTTCCATTAGTTGTGATATAAGTAAGATATAAATTGAGATCAGTTTTGGAGTAAGGAATTGATGTACGAGTACATCATTCCCTGAGGACGCCAACTCGGTTGGTGAAACGTGCGTCGAGAAAAGTGTTGCAGCTCTGATATTTTCCAACAGTGCTTGTTTTGAACATTCAATACATTTCAAATAAGTATTGTACGTAATTGTGTTAACCCAATGTCTTGTATAGCACTGAAACACGGTTCACAAGATAACACTTTTATTATTATAATTATTCTTATATGACTGACAGGAATCGGGTATATTATGTGTAACATTTCTTCGAATCCCAGTCGTTAACTAAACTATGTGCCGTCTTTAACGTATCATTTAGAATGAATGAATGCAAGTCTATGTTTCATACGGCGCGGCGTGTTTTCTGGTCTCCAGCTTTAGTGGTTTTAGTTTGTGTGGTAGGACAGGCGATGAATTTGAATCATCTCCCTTGTTCTGGCTGCTATGTTCCTTGAGTGTACCTCCTGACATCGATGATGTAGCTTGAACAGGATCTGAAACAATATTTCAAAGTCACTTTCAATGGAATTACGTTTTCTTTTGATGGTTGACGGCTGGACGGAGAGCAGCCGATTCCGGATTGGTTTGTCGAGGGGCGGACCGTTCTCATTCCCAAAAGCGGAGATTTGTCGATTCCTAAGAATTACAGGCCGATAACATGCTTGAACTCGTGTTATAAGTTGTTTACAAGTATCTTATAAACACGAATACTCACCGCAGTTTACCGAGTGTTCGAACGGATATATGAACAGAGAGGGTCGAAGAGAGGAGTTGCTGGATGTAAAGATAACCTGCTCATCGCAGGACTCCATACAATATAAGCGTAACCTCTCTATGACCTGGATCGATTACCGTAAGGCATTTGATACAATATCGCATGAGCCCATCTTGCAGTTGCTCAGATGCCTTGCGGTACCCGACAAAATAGTGAGATGCATTGAACAACTGATACCACTTTGGCGAACTCACTTCACCATAACATCTGGTCAAGCCAGTGTCAAAACAGGGTGGGTCACTTTCAGAACGGGTGTATTTCAGGGCAATTCCATCAGTCCCCTTCTATTTTGCATCTCACTATACCCATTATCCGTTGCGCTCAGAAATACTCGAGGGTATAACTGTGGCACCCCCGGTCACCGGATACATAAGGTCACCCATTTGTTTTATATGGATGATCTTGAACTTTATGTCTCTAGAGCAGGGGTCTCCAAACTACGGCCCGCGGGCGAAATCCGGCCCGCCAGTGTCATCAATCCGGCCCGCGACAGCCAATGATTACCTAATTGTTGTTACTATTGCTGTGATAAGTTGAAGAAGAAAACAGAAAATGATAATTACTCGGTTTTATTTACTTGCAAGGTAAAACTTAACGACAGAAATGATGACAAAAGAAAACTTAACTTTAGTATCTAAGTTTAAGCATATTAATAACTAACAAATAATTGAAATTAATCACAGTGAAACAAAAACACTAATGAGATTTATGTAATTGTGGTTTTCCACCGACAATACTTTGTAGTTGTGGATCAATTTTACTTGTACCAATTATCAAAAGAGATTTAAGATGATCATCGGTTAATTGAGATCTGTAAACATTCTTTGTGTACTTCATCTTGGAAAACGTTTTCTCACACAAGTAAGTAGTACCAAAAACAGAAAACAACCCACGAGCAAATTTATGCAAATTATCAAATTGTTCCAGTGGAAGACTCTTATAAAATTCCAACAAATATGAATTTTGATATTTGTTCTTAAGCATATCACTGCACCGTAAATCAATAATTTCCATTTGGACTTCCGGTGCCAGGGTTTCAATGTCAGAATCAAAAGGATTTTGAAAAAGCCTAATTTCATTCGCAATGACATCAAAATCTGAAAAACGAGTATCAAAATTTATCTTCAAAGCACTCAAAGCTTCGATTGCAAAATTGACGGGAAATTCAGTCTCTGTAGTGTGGCTGAATATTTCACATGTTTCAAAATGTGTGAAACATTTTTTACGTAATTGCGGTTGAAATAGTATTATTTTCTGCCTGAAGGATTTGATATTGGTGTATAAATCGGGGAGAAGCTGATTTTCTCCTTGCAATCTCAAATTCAGTTCGTTCACATGATTTGTCAAATCGACATAGTAGGCTAACTTCCACATCCATCCACTATTTTCTAAACGGCAAAAGGGCGCTGCTTCTCATTTAAAAAAATTTCTATCTCTGCTCGAAGTTCAAAAAAGCGCTTGAGGACTTTTCCGCAACTAAGCCAGCGTACGGCAGTATGATATGGTAAATCATTTTCTCCAATCTGTTAAATAAACTCGCGGAATTGTCGGTGATTCAGCCCAGTGGATCTGATGAAGTTAACAACTGATATGACTGATTTTAGAACTTCAGACATATCCATACATTTTCCGCACAAGGACTGTTGATGAATGATACAATGTAAGACTACTGGTTTTGTACCACCATCATTTTCTACAGCCTTTGACACAAGTGTAACCACTCCTTTATTTTTACCATACATATTTTTGCCTCCATCAGTTGTTATACATTTCAAATTTCTCCATAGAAGGTTCTTTTTATTAATGGCATTTTCAACTCCCTTAAAAATATCTGCCCCAGTTGTCGTGCCGTGAATACTATCAATATCAAGAAGTTCTTCATACTCTTCATAGCTTTTATCTACTCCGCGAATAAAAATCAACACCTGAGCAGTATCTGACACATCCGTTGACTCATCCAATGCTAGAGAAAACCACTCATGAGGTCCATTTTTGTCAGACAGTTGAGATGATATATTTTCTGCGATGTCTTGCACCATCCGAGCCACGGTGTTTGCTGACAAACTGACACTTTTAAATAAATTTTCCTTTTCGGGGCATATTTCTTCGGCTACTGCAATGAAGCATTCTTTTTTCATTTCTCCATCGGTGAATGGTTTGCCACGTTTTCCGATTTCAAGAGCCACACGAAAGCTGGCGCGATTTGCAGACTCTTGTTCAGTATTCGCTTTGGTAAACAAAGATTGCTGCGATTTGAGTCCGCGTTTCAAAGCTTCAAATTTTTCCTTCCGCAAACTTCCTGTATACTTGGAGTAACTTTGAAGATGTTTCGATTCATAGTGTCGTTTAATGTTATAGTCTTTGAGAACAGCTATGGTTTCATTACAAATTAAACATACCGCCATATTACTGGACTCAATCACAAAATACTGAAAGTTCCATTTTTCTTGGAACGTTCTGCATTCATTGTCGATTTTTCGCTTCTTTTCCATACTAACAAATCACACATAAAAACAATGAGTCAAATCAAAATACTTTTATTGACGGGTGTAACTTTATTTCACAATAGACAGTTTCGTTTCCTTCGCCTTTCCTACGCAGACTATATCGCGCTTGCGCGGCTAGCCTTTTTATATGCAATTATTACTGCCATCTCGAGGTGATCGGAATACACTAGCTAGAACCAGAACTTTCTCGAACCAACAGGGTAATTCCAAATATTTAATTACGCCTAATGCCACCTAGCGGGTAGCTGAAAAAATACCACTACTCGCCACTAAATGTCGTTAACTGTCACAATACACAATAATAATTGAAATGCAAAAAAGCGTAAGTTTGCTTAGGTCACGCACTTTGCACTATCCTCAGGGCCGGCCTGAGGGGTGTGCGAAGTATGCAGCCGCACACTCGAGCCTTTTGGAGGGGTTTGAATCTCTTTGCTTTTATGCGTTTGTTGTGTTTAGTTTACGCTGTTAGCTTTTGGTATATTCACCAATCAAGCTTGTGTACGTACGGATAGTTGAATTTTGTTTGTGAAACCTGTATGTATTATAAATTTTTGAACTATATAATTTATCTAAAACATAAGCTTTACTCCACGTTTTCGAGTGAG